AACCCCCCCTATCCAGACTTTCCCAGTAAGTCCTTTGAGTAAAATCATTGACCCCCTGGCCATTGTTGCTACAATGCTGCTGCCTGGAGTAATCGTCATGTACGCTCCATCTATCCAGTCTTTAGCTGCCAAAACAGCACATCATTTACACCAATCATCTTCCCTTCTGTAGTTTGGATCACTTCAGACCTAGCAGCAATAATTCATACAATAGGTATTTGCAAATACATTAAGAGCATGCTGGCAGTCAGCCCGAGAAGTGATCATTGAGACAAATTGATCCCTATCTGTTTAAATTGGCACTGTAATCACTCATCGGTGAATTGAACACATTTATATATCTGGGATCTGTTGGTTGTTTAGATAGGGGGTCTCAGGGGTACACAGACAGGCTAACTGAAAGAGATCGACACTGTTACATTTAGTGAAACATTTATATGTTCTCGCCGTTTTTTCCAATGTCATGTTTCTTTGCAGCCTGAAAAAGCAAAGAAGAAAAAACAGTTTGAACATGTGATAACTTCCCAATAATTATATATAATGTATAGTTTTATAATTTCCATTGTTCATGTTTTCATGACATATTAATAATTTAACAATAAAATAAGTAATGTATATAAACATAAAGTAAAAAGAACATCTGCATGCAAAAAAAAAAAAAAAAAAATTCTCCAACTCATTCTTTCATTTACATGAATTATCATTATTTGAAATTGGATCATTTAAACTATATTTTATGCATCCAAAGCCTGTAGCTATAGGCTATTTGGGCAGTAGATTTTTACTTTATAGTGGAGCATCTAACAATCATCATTAAGCATTGCTGTGAAGAGACAAATTATGAAATTTAACTTTTGGACAAAAACACGATCAATCATAATGATCTGCATAAAACCATAAAAAGTCTTTGTGAGGAAATAATTTTTAAAGGTTATGTGAATTATCAACTTCTTACTTTCTAATATTTTGGTTGATTTAAATTGTTTTCTTCAAGCGTTCTTTCTTCTGAATGTGTTGGATCAGATCCGTTCCTGTCCTGATTCCGCAGGCATCTAATTCAATAAGACTCTTGAAGTTGATTAGCCTGGTTAACCTTTGATCCAACGCGGCTGTGGAAGGGTTAATCGGGCCGGGAACTTGGAGACCTGCGGGTCAGTGTCCCTCTATCTAAACGAGGGGGTACTTGGTAAACCCAAGATAAGCCTAACTCAGTTTTTAATTACTATTTTTACTTTTAGCATAAATTATGGACACTGAACATGAACTTCTTTCATTTGTATTTATTGATTTTTTTTTTTTTGGCTATTACAATTTTGGAATTGATTTGGCTTTCCAAGTAAACGTCACTATTTATTTCCCCCTCATGTAGGGCTTAAAGCTTTTCCTCTTTGCAAGGTAGTAAATCTCAACTATTATCCGTCGCTCTATCGATTAATTTATCTGCAATCATCCCAATCAGCACATCTCCTCTGCTTTCTTCCACATTAAGTGTGTGCGCTTTGTTTCACCAACAATAATAAAGTGATTTTCTCCTGTTTTTTTTGTTTTGTTTTTTTTCTCCCCTCCACCCCAACCGGAGCATGAAAAAATCGTTAAAGACTCAGCTATTTGTGTGTGATCAGTAAATATTTAGCGCCGACGAGATCCTCTGTCTCAACTTAATCGATACTGATCCCATTGGGCAGCGCTATTGTTGTGCGCACGGTGGCTTGCTGAGCATTTAATACTTTTATCCTCTGCTTGAAGGCGACATGCAGAGGGCACCTATGGAGCCAAGGAAGAAAAAAGGAAAAAGACAAAAAAAAGACGCTAAAGAGAATTTGGGAAAATATTCTGCACACAAGGTCCACAAAAAAGTTTAATATACATATATATATATATATATATATATATATATATATATATATATATATATATATATATATATATAGGAAGTGTGTGTGCACAAGTTTCATGGTGTATTTTTAAAAATGCATTTCAAAAAATGATATGGTAATTATGAATATGACAGTAATGTTGGAAATAGTAAGAACTAAGATAAGATGAAGTGATAATAACAAAAACAATACGATGCAAACAGAGCATGAATATATGAGAGATTCCTATTATATTAAAACTAAAATAATATTTAATTTATATGATTTTTCAATTAAAGCTTAGTTTAGGATTTCGTCGAAGCTAATTTTGTGACTATAGATAAAAATTTTCCTTTAATTTACAAAAACGCACAATTCCAGATTGCTAACTCGCCCCATTTAAAGACAGGTGTCTATTCTGGCTGCACAACCCCCTCCCTCTCCTCTCTTCTCTTCTCTTCTCTTCTCCTCTCCTCTTCTCTCCCCTCAGTATAGCCCACACAAAGCAGCGGCTATCGAGCGCGCTTTAGCCAGATTACTGTGGGAGAGAAAAAGGCGCACAGGATCTCTGCCGCTCGCTGCAAACCTTCCCCGGCTTGCTTGTCGTTTCCAGAAGGCATCTCAAATGCTGATATTCTCGGACGACACGTCAACCTATAGGCTGCATTTCCTCCACTCCTTCACTCAGCAGCACATGACGTGAATCAGTTGTTTGTTTCGGCTCTCGAAAAGTTTTTGCATGCTCATCCTCAGCAGCAACAACAGACATTTGCACTTCTTTTCCAATAAACAGCGAGCCTTTTTTTGTGCATTGGAGAGGAATCAGTCTGAGCACTTTGTCGAAAAAGGGAAGACATAATTTAATCTGAATAAGAGAGAGGGAGAGGGAGAAGATGCATCCCGCTACGGACGAATCAGCAGCATATGCATTTGGTAGGTTTGTAATCAGAATAAAGCCTCCTGCCTCGCTATTAATGTTGAATAAAATCTTATGAATGGCTGTTTGCAAACTTGCAAGTCTTGTTTTGGTTATCTTAGAAATTAGTGAATGAGAAAAAGCGTCCTTGTTCGCTGCGCAGCCGCTGCAATATAAGTCCTAAGTATGGTTTCCAACAATTTATATCAAATTTGATTAGATGTTTAGCTGGGACATAAAGAGACACCTCTTAGCAGAAAATAATAAATTAAATTATTTAAACACTCACCTTTTTTTTTTTTTTTTGTAAAACTGGATCTTCGAAGTGGTTTTTGATCGTTTCCATTTTCGCTGGATCTGTAAACAAACAATAATCATGCAAACAAAATATAATCTACTAATCTATCTCAACATTATTTCTAATTTGCTCAGAAACCGCCACTGAATTTAGTTGAAGTTAAAGAAAAAAGGAGGAGATCCAACTCTTGCAGCCATCAGAGCTTTTTTTTCCGTCCACGGTTGTGTTGATCAGAATTAAAACTGTCGTCAGTTTAAACTGCAGCTCGTTAGTTTGGTTGGTCGATGCGAGAGACGAGACTGAAGCTGTTTCCGTCTCGGATGGCTCCTCTAAATTGAATCGTATTTCAAGAGAGAGGAAAACATCATACGCTAGGGGGCACCCATATACTGTAATACATCCGAGGACAATGCTGGTGGATGCTGGTGGATGGTGCTGCTCCCTCTGTCGCCTAACACACTGACCTGGCTAGAAGTTCATCTCCAGGGCTGTGGAGTTTCACCTGCAGTTCAAAGCTGCGTTCAAAGTCAATCCGTTTTATTGCCTTTGCAAATGGCTGGAAATGATCATTTATCCCTGCACCTCACTACTTTTTACACGCAAAGCATCAGCATCCTTCCCTTTAATTTTAAATCGACATTTTCTCCTGCACAATGTTTTTAATAAGATATTTTACCAAACGGCAACGTATTTCAAAGCACTACCAGTCGTGACATGCTAAGGCTTGCAACATGATATATTTCTATGTTTGGATGCAATCACTGCTTTGTGCTTTTTTTGACCACGTGCAGACAAAGCTTTCACTTTTGGAGGACCAGATTTGACCCCTAGTGACCCATTTGGATTGGAGAGGGATAGATCTTTGTTGCCTATGGGATGTGCAGACAGAACATTTCATTGCTGTGCCATAACATTTTTACGACTGTGATAAGTAGCGCCTGGCTGGAAGCACATATCGTCCTTTTAAACCTGAAAAGAATTATTGCAACTTTAAAAAACACGAATAACAGAATTTAATACATGTTTTGTGCATAGTGTGCAAAGTTATTTGCAATAGTATCATCAGCCGTGCAAAGTAAGAGAAACATAAGATGTTATCTTCACATTAATTGCTTCGTAGCATTGTGATTCACACTGTAAAACGATTTTTGTCTCAACAGCAAAATTCTGTTTTCAGAAATATGTAATTTTGTTAACCAGTGCACGTTATGGCAATGCAGATTTAGAGACCTGTCATGGTGAAAGAACTACATACAGCCCTGCACTTTATGACT